GGGGCGTCACTGCTAGGTCATATTTCTTTTTATTTCGCTCTGTCGTATCTGATTGTCTTGCTTCTTCCCAGCACCATGTAAGTGTCAATGTGCTTTTCTCTTTCCTCAAACTCTATTTACCCCCCCCCCCCTCCCGGGGCGGTGCAACTGACTGAAGTGTCTTTAGGCCTTTCCCAAAGGGGGGGGGGACATTGACCTGTTCTTATGCACAGTAGAATTGCAAATGGGCTGATTAATTATCAATGTCATGTTCATAACTGTGCCGAAGTGCAACAGGGAACTGCTGCTTTTTTTCTTTCCTAATCCTTACTATCGTCATTTTCCTCTACTATTATTGCATGTTTGTCACTTTCTTGTGAACTGCCATTTCCGGGATGCCTTGATAGTCGAAGCAGACTTTGTGCTGTTGAAGCTAGAGAGGTGAGCAGAGTAAGTCTGATTCTATGTAAGGACGTCTCTGTTGACGTCCACCCCTTGGCGCTCATAATTTGACCTTATGCAGTTGCGAGCGTCGTAAAACGTCTACTAAAACAAACAAAAACATTATTTCCTAGGAAACATCTATCGCCTTAACTCTCCTCCTTCGTTTGTTGCTGTGTTTGTTACTCTTTTGTAACACCTCTAATCTTCGACACTTATACGACCCTATTGTGTTGCAAGTGCCTTAAAACACTTCCTAAACCTTAAAACAAAATTCCTCGAACTCTATTGACCTATTTATGCTTGCAAGCGCCGTAAAACTCTCCCCCAACACTGCCCTAACCCCAGAGCCTATAGTGCTGAAGAACCTGACCAAGCTGCGGCTGGGCCATCGAGTGGTGGACAACGTGAGCGTGTGTGTGGGGCGGGGCGACTGTCTGTGTGTGCTGGGCCTCCCAGGTTCCGGTAAGACTTCGCTGATGGAGATGGTAGTGGGCGCCACCCCGGTGTCCGAGGGCCAGCTCTTCTTCTACAGCTGCGACGGAAACTTGATGGCCACCAGGGTGAGGCTATAGTAATAATAATAATAAATTGTTTTTCAAGTAATAAGATGAATATTTGGAATAATTTTCTTTAGTCAGAACACAACGTTTTATGTTACTGTTGTACGTTGTACTGTTTTGTAAAGCGCTCAGTGCCTGTGTACTTTAATCGGGGTGGAGCGCTATATAGATGTCTTTTATTATTATTTTTTATTAATAATGAAAATAATAATAATAAAAATGATAATAATAATAATAATAATAATAATAATAATGATAATAATAATGATAATAATAATAATAATAATAATAATAATAATAATAATAATAATAATAATAACAACAATAATAATGACAATTATTATTATTATTATTATTATTATTATTATTATAATAATAATAATAATGATAATTGTAATAATAATAATAATAATAATAATAATAATAATAATAATAATAATAATAATAATAATTAGTCGATATGTGTGTACGTAAAACGAAGTATTAAGCATAATAATATATATAACAATGAATGTTGTGGGGGCAAGGGCGAGGCTATAGCAATAGTTGTTCAACTGTGCGCAGCCCAGATAGCAACATTTTCCAGGAAAGAGAAAAAACAGTGTTTCATGCTTTTTTTAACAATAACTAAACCCCGCCCCCCAAAAATACCACCCAGGGCAGTGCTACTGACTGAAGTTGTCTTTACCTCATTTTCAAAAGGGGGGGGGGGGTGGTGGTGGGGATAGCAACATATTCTTATACACAGTAAAATTGTAAATGGGCTGATTTATCAATGTTATGCGCATACTGTGCCGGAACAACATAGGAGGAACTGCTGCGTTTTCTTTCCTCATCCTTACTATTGTCATTTTTTTCCTCTACTTCTTTCGTATGTCTGTCACACTCTTGTGAACTGTAATTTCCGGGGTGCCTTGATAGTCGAAGCAGACTTTGTGCTGTGGAGGCTAGAGAGGTGAGCAGAGTAAGTCTGACTTAAACTAAAACTCTGATGCTCTAAAAATCGTTATTCTTGTCCTGTTCAAAACACTTGAAGAGGGAAGATCTTGACCAAACGGACTTCATGACAACATGACTCCAGCTAGAGAGGTGAGCAGAGTAAGGCCGATTTCCTGTAAGGACTTCTCTGTTGACATCCACCCCTGGGCGCTCATATGACCTTATGCAGTTGCGAGCGCCGTAAAACCTTACTAAACCTAAAAACACTTGAATAGAAATTGACGAAACACACGACGTGACTACAATTTGTACCTGTCAGCTCCACTCTGGCATGGGCTACTGCCCGGAGAGAGGCGACCTGAACGACAAGATGACAGGCCGGGACTTGCTGTGGCTCGTGGCCA